TTGCAGCATGTGTTGTGTTCTATTTCAATTGCTTTTGTTTGATAATTGCAAACAGCTGAAATTCTGTCAATTTTGACAATAAACCTGACTTTCAATGAGGGTGAATAATTTTTACAACTGTGAGCTTGTCTCAGTGATTGTCTGTTACTTGTCTCCTCTCCCCCATTCTATGACTGTAAAGCTCCTATATGTCATGTGTTTTTATTATTTATTTTGTGGCCGGTTCTTGCTGCACAATGTGTAATTTGCCGTTTCTGCTCTTTTTCAGAACACCTGTTTTATCAGTGGCTTGAAGGTAAGTGCTTCTCAGTTTGTTCAGCTGCAATTCTTCCTCTGGGGCAAGAAGCTAGCACTCATTCGATTTAATATTCTTCTTCAGCAGCATATGGACTGTGGTGGGGAAACTGACCTATAGAACTAAATAATGCTCCTGTACAACATTTTAATATATGTATGAAAGGCAAGGCTTTGTAAATGCCTTCGGAGTGTTTTTTGGGAAGGCTCCAAGTTTAGACGTTTAGCAGGTCAGCTCACGGAACATGAAGTGATAAATATGGAGTTCCAGGGTCTATACTGTTATCTCTACAGCCACAAACTTGATCTATTCCAATTCTTTTAGATCTTTGTGTTGAAAAAAGAGCCTTTTACCGGTTGGTATCCGGACTCCATGCAAGCATCAATGTCCATCTGAGCGCCAGGTATCTCCTGAAAGGTAAGTATCGTGGTTTTTGTTTTGAATTTTTTTTCCATGGTTTGCTGGCTACCAGCCCTGTTGTAAATGCTGTTCTTATAACGGAGGACACATGTAGCAATTACTGAGGGACTGTAACATAAATTGAACAGTGGTCAGCACTGTTATACTTGGACACTAAACAGTAGATTCTAATTATCGGCGTTTGTCTGTCTGTGTCTCTCTAAACATCTATTTTGTCTTCTTGTAGAAACGTGGATGGATAAAGTCTGGGGCCACAATGTATCTGAATTCCAGAAGCGATTTGATGCTTTGCTTACCAAGGGCGAGGGGCCAAGACGACTGAAGAACTTGTATTTTATTTATCTCATTGAGCTCCGGGCCATTTCCAAGGTTCTCCCGTACTTTGAGCGTCCGGAGTTTGTGCTTTACACAGGAAATCGAAGCAATGACATGACGACCAAGCTGCTACTGGTGGACATTCTCTACGCTGCCAAGTAATTACCCAGGGGCGGTGAGACAGGGAAACTTATTAAGATATCCCCCCTCTTCTTTTTCCATTCCTTACGAGAAGTTTGAATTACTATTCATTTTTATTTTTTCCCGCATGTGATTTGCAGGTCATTTCCTCTGCACTTTGATGAAAATGCCCTTTTCGCTGGGGTTGGTAAGGAAGCCGAGCAATTAAAGGTAATGCCCCTAGAGGGCACATACAGCATAACGCGGTCACGCCCTCCACGTGACTCTGCACATACAGAATAATGCGGTCACGCCCTCCACGTATCATACAGAATAACACTGTCATGCCCTCAATGTGTGACCAGTGGCGGATCCAGAGCCTGATCTCGGAAGGGGCACTTGTAGATTATTTAAAGAAATAATCCAGACACAATAACTACTACAGCTCAGTGTAGTGGTTATGGTGTCAATAGTGCCGGGACCCCCTCCCACAGTAAGTAGTCAAACCGTTTAAAACAGTTTGACAACTTACCTGAGATCTGCTGGGAAATGGGGCTGTAGTAGGGCATAGGAGCAGTGGTGTGTGTGAGTGGTGCAATGTGTAAGGGGTGCAGTGTGTGTGTGTGTGTGTGTGTGAGGGGTGGGGACAGTGTGTGTGAGCAGTGTGTGTGTGTGTGTGTGAAGGTTGTAGTGTGTGTGAGTAGGGGGCAGTGTATGTCAGGGGATGCAGTGTATGTGTGGGACAGTATGTGTGTGTACAGTTGCAGTGTGTATTGGGGGGCAGGTGTGTGTGTGTGTGTATGTGGCAGTATGTGTGTATGGGGGGCAGTATGTGTGTATGGGGGGGCAGTATGTGTGTGCTGGGGGGGCAGTATGTGTGTATAAAGGCATGGGGGGCAGTGCTTGGGGCAGTATGTGTGTATGGGGGTGTATGTGTGAATGGGGGGCAGTGGGGGGGGGTTGGTGCAAGTGTGTGTGTAAAAGGTGTGTGTGTGTGTGTTAAGGGTGGTGGGGGGCTTTTTTTTATAATATATATCTTTATTTATTTAATTAAAAAAAACAAATATTCTATGTCCCCCCTCCCTTCTTACCTTTATTGAGGAGGAGGGGGACATATTTTCATCCCTGGTGGTCCCAGTGGTTACAGTGAACTTCTGCCCCGCTGCCCGGATCCGCCAGTGTGTGAGACTTGGCACATACAGAATAACAGGGTCGCGCCGTTGAGGTGTCACGCCCTCCACGTATCATACAGAATAACGCGGCCACGCCCTCTACGTATCATACAAAATAACGCGGCCACGCACTCCACGTATCATACAGAATAACACGGTCACGCCCTCCACGTGTGACTCGGCACATACAGGATAACCCTTTCCCATCTGATGACTTTAACAAGAATTAAAGGAACAACTCAGAGCAGCCACCAATATCGCACATACTGGTAACATCTACATGTCCCTGACACAAATTTTCCCCCGGCTGTCTAGAAAGATCATTAAATAATAAAATAACTCTCTCTCTCCCTCACTGTGGCGCTATGGGAACCACCGGAACTTTACACTAAACTATTATCGCAATAAATTCTATTTAATGAAACTGCCTTTAACGCTAATTGCTGTTACTTGTGTCGTGTACAGAACATTTTTCTTTTTCTCTCAGATGGAATTTAGACATCACTTTAGAAACATTTCCAAAATCATGGACTGCGTTGGTTGCTTTAAATGTCGCTTGTGGGGAAAGCTGCAGGTTAGTTGGTTTTCACATGGCTGGCCAAATTGTTTGTAATCTGGAATAATCAATTTTTAATTTTTAAATTTATTTATTTTTAACCAGACACAAGGATTAGGTACTGCCCTCAAAATCCTGTTCTCTGAAAGACAAATCGCTAACCTGCCAGACCGAGAGCTGTCTCAGGGCTTTCATCTTAAACGGCAAGAAATCGTAGCGCTGTTTAATGCCTTTGGCCGGTTAGTATTTCTAAATCAGTTTTTTTTTTTTGTTTTATAGTCAGGTACCCTGTGGTCTCTGACTGCAAGGGAGAAGGCTGGAACTAACAAAGTAGCCAAACAAACTTTTACTCAATCGCCTACAGCATCATAGACAGAGGGGCTTATTCACTAAACTCCATCGTAGCGCGTTGGAAAAACAAATGATAAATTTAGGCGTCCCCCCAGCACTATTCGCCCTGGATCTTGTAGTTTCACTACATAGAACACTTGCTCCTTTTTGTTCAATTTACCTGTAACACAACAATGTCCAGCCTCCTGTATGCTGCCCCTAGTGGCTGTGCATGTTAGATGCACTTTGTAATGGCTCCCAATGGAAAGTGGAGCAGGTTGTAACATTCTCTACCTCCTTTCCTTCTCTCTAGAATATCTACAAGTGTTAAAGAACTGGAGACCTTCCGGGCACTGCTGCAGAAAATAGCGAGAGAATAAAAGGGAGAAAAATGTATTATACTTTTATTTTTCTTGACTTCTCAGAGGTCTCGTCCTGTTAAAATGGAAACCATTGATCATGTGGTAAAGGTTCCGGAGGTACTGCTCTCCTGTTGGAGAGCTTTGCTGTTTATACTGTAAAATAAATGGATTTAATATTTTTTCACTAGATCTTGTTTTCAGTGAATTTACGGATTTTCAGCTAAGGGGTACATTTTTAAAGAGATAGACGTACTTATTTTTGGAATATAAGATATTTTAAGGCTGGTCCCAGGAATACAGAATCCCACTGAGATGATGCAGGGAAAAGTGGTGGGTATTTCCCTCGTTTGGGTAGTTTATTTTCTTGTGTACTTAAAGGGACAGTCCAAGCACTCGAACCATTGAGACAACATTGCTGATTCTTTCTGAGAGAAGGCAGTGTTTACGTTGCTTAGAAGTAAAACCAAAGAGTTACCATCACGCTATCCCAAATCCCTATGGGTTTTAGTATCACTCCAATGGTCAGTAGATGGAAACCCCCCTGAAACGTAAAAGCAAACCTCTAGGGTGGGTCCTACACTAACCTTCCACCTTGCTTCCTTGAGCAGCAGTCAAGTTTCCCCTTTCCAGCGATGCAGGCCCGACTCTTAGACCTCAAACTCCCGAACTGGAGCCAGGGGAATGTGCCAATCTCCCTGTTAAGACACCCCATGTGCCTATGAGGGAAACCGCCGTTTAGTTAAGCTTCCCCCTTCGCAATCTCACTACCTCCGTTCGCATAGACTGCTATATACGAACCACCCTCAGGGGAAGCGGTAATCTCCCGAACAGGATCCGTAAGCGGTTCCAAGAGAGGGGTATTTTTATATACACCCCTATAGACTTATACACCCTTCATCGGGAACACATGGGGTGGGCAGCAGCATTGTAAGTGTTTTTACATTGCTGCCTAATGCCACCTCCTTGGCCATCCTGCTGTGGACTTAGGTTTAGCATGTTCATGCTCTCCATGAAGACCACAAACATGAGTGAAGTTAATGCGTCTACGAGTTGTGGAATTAGCTGAATGTGATTGACGCGCATCACCAAAACCTCGCACTTCTACAGGATAATGCTGTCAAATCTGGGCTCAGCTATTGCTAAACTGGAACTGCCATAGCTTATTCCTGGGCTGGTTTACATTGTTTTACAAATACAGTTTTGGTATATGAATCAGGCTGTACTCTTGCAGACATTGTTTTCTTAGTACAAGCCTAGGGGAACACAACCATGTACAGATATACAGTACAGGTGTCTTGTCCTGCTGCCTGTTCAGCTCACTCTGGTGACACGCATGTACAGTAAGAGAATGGAGACGAGTTTCAGTGCTGAAAGCTGTAAAATATTCTTTGGTTCCAAAAAATAAAATTAAAGCCAATCGGCATTAAAGGATAGCATGCTACAAGCCAAATATCGATTGCATCCATTAAGGTGTATTTATGCCCAGAGGGGCTTTTGAGTAGAGGAGAGCTGATTTTTGAAACTAATCTAAGCCCAAAACAATTCTAATATTTGCCACAAAGTTGAGGAAAATGTCCATCTTTGTTCCAAAGTGTCACCAGAAACGGTGGGGGGACACTTAAAGTGACAACTGACATTTAATGTGGATAAGTGCAAGATAATGCATTTTGAATGTTTAAAACCCAAGGAGTACAGAATATTTGATGGAGTCCTAACCTCAACATCTTAGGAAAGGACTAAATGGGCCGAATGGTTATCTGCCGTCACATTCTATGTTTTATAATTCCTACAGCCGACTGGTTTTGGTGCCAGGTGTATAAGGTGGGTGTATGGCACACCCCAGGTAGGATGTGAAACCATTCTGAATATTTTGATTGGGGTATGAGAATGCTCTCATTTGAATATTTAAAGTGAAGGCATAGAGATTAATCTGCAAAGTACACATTCCTCCGCCCTTGGTGAAGTCTTAGAAGTGGAACCAGAATTAGGGTAGTCTCATTAATTCACACAATAAATAGAACTTCTTCATAACAAGTTGGAGAGCTTCAGCAGCTGTCTAACATTGCATGTTGTTGCCTTGTCTATTATATACCATTCTAGCTTTATTTTTATAAACCTGGTTTAGAGACCAACATTGTTTAAGTTGTTTTCCCTGGCACTATAGCTCAATCTAGTGCCCACCTCCAACCCACACGGTGCAGAAGGGGGTTTAGAAGAAGAAAAAAAACCTTGTCACACACCTGGGCCCAGCACTGATGTTCCTCTGCTGGCTCAGGGCTCCCGACATGGGAGATCTAATGCACATGCATGGCAAGACACGCATGCATTAGGATTTTCCTAAGATTGGATCCAAATGGCTGGTGAAGGTGTGTGTGGGGGGAGAAACTTGCCTATTTTAGAAACCTGTTTTACCAGTTCAAGTTTATATGAATGCAGCAACAATGGTATTAATGTAGCCACAAGCTGCTTGTGATCTGCATGCAATGGGCAGAACTTCTACAATGGTATCCTTAGCAAGTGGGCACTTAGACCCTCACATAGTAGATTGTGTAAAGTTTACATCTGGCCAAGTCTCGTAGACCCATCACCAGATTGTCCTATAAGATGAAGGATTCATTATAGAAGACATTACAGCCGGAACAGTTTATTGGCAGCTACGTACAGATGGCGTATAGGTTATTGGCAGCTACGTACAGATGGCGTATAGGTAACAAGTTATTGGCAGCTACTGTTGTGGATCCAAATAATGATCTTTGTTATATTCAGAGGAAGCCCAAATTATTATTACAAGTGCACTTGGAGAAGCGAGAATTAGACACCAGACACCTGTTGGTATTCAATATAAGCCTCTGACATTTTATTCATCAGCTGGGTTTTATACATTAAAAAGTAAGTGCTTACGTGCAAATACTCTTAGAACAGCAATAGGAAGGGAGTACAGATAAGACATAGGGATGAACATCATGTACACATAACAAATATGTTCCAAGGTAATAAAGAACAAAAAGATTATAGAAGAGACATCTCAGGTGGGGGCTCTCTGCTCCCGGAACTAGACATATATGGTCTTAAGTGTTATTTAAGCATCAAGCATTTCCGGAGTCCAAGTTAGCCAATTTTAATATAGGATATCATTATATGACACCTATAAGCTTGAGACTTGGAATCAAGATAAATTCTATAACACTACATACAGATGGCGTATAGGTAATACGTTATTGGCAGCTACATACAGATGGCGTATAGGTTATGGGCAGCTACATACAGATGGCGTATAGGTAATACGTTATTGGCAGCTACATACAGATGGCGTATAGGTAATACGTTATTGGCAGCTACATACAGATGGCGTATAGGTAATACGTTATTGGCAGCTACATACAGATGGCGTATAGCTACACATCTGGAAATTCATTATACACTAACACTGGTAAATTCCAGGACCATGCTCTAAGTGTGCCTGGATCACCAGGCTAGCAACCCAACGAAGATCATACTAGAAGACAAGGTGAATTGTTAGTGTAAGACACTTTATGGCCATTGCAGTGATTCTAAGAACCTCCAGTTAGTGTATAGGGATCTGTGAAAAGTGCACAGGTAAAACTTTGTTTAGTGTACGTTTTGGGGCTCATTTACTATAGTCATTGCTACCGCCCAGGAGCGTTTCAAAGCAGGACAGTCTATAGTAAATACATTGTTACACAGATCTGCACACCAGTCAAACCATAAGACTTTTGTTTCCCACAGCAATCTCACATTTGCAGAGCGCTTACTAGTGTGAAGGGATTCTGAGGGGGTAAGCAAGTTAGTTCAAGGATACTCTCTCCCCCCACACCCCCCATTATTTCACTTCTTTGTTTCAAAGCAGACAAAGCCAGATAACCAATCATTGATGGCCATTTCATTGTTAAAAAAGGAACCCAGTGGAAGGTTTGTTACTGATGTTTTGTGTTACTTGTGAAGCACAGACCAAGAGTTAACTTACCCCATCATAACTATGTGTGTGCTCTACATCTAGAGATAACACCCCAAGTAACATATTGCTCACCCCATTACCCACAGTGTATTAACCCTTACATAACAGGGCAATTGTGCCTTTATAGGGTTAATGTGATCAAATGACATGATTCTTCATTAAAAAGAAATATATTCTCAAGATGGTCTTTTATTTGAATTAATGTGTGCATTGCTCAATGGGGACAACCATCTTTAAGTTCTCTGATCAGAAGTAACTTGTACCAAACTAAAAACTGTGCAGACCAGTTCATACCTTGTGTGCGTTGCCATCTTGGAATGTAATAGAGGAGAAAAAATAAAATATATGGTCATTTTTATTAAACCTGGTTGGAAAAGAAATAAATACAGAAACAAGGAAATTATTTTGCACAAGTGCAGATAAATTTATTTAACATTAGTGCTTCAGGACAGCTCAGTGAATAGTTAAACATTCATGGCACCAGCAAGTCACTGGTTAAAAAGACAATGTACCCAACCCATAACAGGTTGGTCACATTTCGAATTAAACAAAACCCATACCCCACCAGCACACAAACAATGCTTTAGCTACCTGGCCATGCTGGGAGGAGCAGTGGGATTATAAAGTGTCGCAGTGTAAGAACTCTAGCCAGCGCTAGCAGTCAAATTTTAAAGTGCAAAAAGTGCTTAAAGGAGAAAAAACAAAACAGTCACAATGATCGTAGGAATTCTTTGGTGTATGTAGGCCATGCTTCGATGAGAATTTCGAATAATGCATTCAGAGCTTGATCGGCAATATCGCCATCTATCCTCCAGGACTCTGGGAAGACAGCCTATGGCACTCCAGATCTTGATTAGATTTACCCTGATGCTTTGGCAGCATTCTGAGATATGTAGTCCCCAAGATCTGGAATGTAAAAGGCAGACTACCCCATGCTCTAGGTCTATAGTGCAAGATAGGATTCCCACAACCCATAATATATAAACACATTTCCATTTAACAGGAACACAGCATTAAACACTATACAATGAGCCAAACATTCATATTGTAATGCCTCCTTTTTAGATCCCTCCAGAGGCAGCAAGAGCTCCCCAAACTGTGCTGGGAGTGGATAAGGCTTACAATGCCCATTTAGTGCCACGTTAATGCAGAATCGTGAGTTACCTGACACCAAATCAGCCCTCCCAGAGATCCGTTTATCAAGACATCTACAGAGTAACACTGCCAACGCAGAGTGCAGTAGATGTAGCACTCAGACAGGACAATAAATGGGGTGTTTGACAGAGAAGGATTGATCATTCTTGTATGATAAGACCGAAATAGGTCAAGGATACAGCAATGGAATGTTAGAACATCTGAAATAAATTAAATAATTGAATACAGTTATCAGGTCAATAATGCTGGATGTCATAGGGTTCAAACAGAATAGATTATATTAAAGCCATACAATACTAGCAACATGACAGGTTAAATTAAGTCTATGCTAAGCAGAACAGGGCGATCAGCTGGGGAGGGCTTACAGTTGGGTCTAGTAACGGACAAACTTTGTTTATGCCTTGCCCCCAAAAAATAAAATAAATAAGATAACGCCACAAATGACTTTCCCAAGTTGTGAGAGGTGCTACTGACAGCAATTACAGCTTCATATTCTAAATCCCAGCTCCCACGGATATATAGTAATACAGGTTATAGTTTGAAAGTCAAATTCATCTATGTCAGCACAGTATCCTCAGCGTCTATGTCCATTGTTATGTAGACACTGCCACCACCAGATAATATGATGAGTTCCACTGAAACCAACATTAACATTGCTAGATCCAATTCCTTTCAAATTGGGCATTTCAGGATTCTGTGCAAATTGATATAGAAATGCCAACACCAAGACGAGGACATTCCCAAGTCAGTATCACACCGACCGAATAGGGAAATGTGACTGGGTTGAAAACACTAAAAACAAGAAATCAGGTCCAGCTTAGCACAAGTCTGGGGAGTATCTAGCAGGCATAGGCCACCTTTGGCACTCCAGATGTTTTGGACTACGCCTCCCATGATGCTTTGCCAGCATTACAGGTGTAAGCATTATGGGGGATGTAGTGCACAACATCTGGAGTGCCGAAGGTTGCCTACGCCTGAGAGAACCAGATGACAGTTTATGGCATTCACAGAACCTGTCCAGAACTACATCACCATGTCTGTTTCTGGCCTTTAGGGAACACCCAATTCTTCCAGTGGCGTTTGACAGTCAGACAAGCCTGTCCCAAGGTAAAGGAGTCTAACCCAGAGTCTAGCCATCAGTCTTATCCAGTTAGATTTTAGGACTGCACTCCGCAATGGTTTGTGATATTGCAAATATAAAACATTGTCTTTGCTTCACTTCCAAATGCTGAGTGGGAAGCAGCTACTGCAACCTTTACAATTTAAATACAGGTTTTCTTTCATGGAGGAGGTTAGTCA